ACCCTTCAGTATAAGATGATTAGGAATAAGGATTCAGAATTTTTATGATAAGCAGAAATAACTCTACTGTAGGAAGGAAATAGTTCAGAGAGGTAGGCCCCAGGTTTCCTAACTGACTACATAGTTAATCTTCATAGTATAATGAAAAACTACAGATAGATATTACTAAGGCAGAACTTGAATATATTTTTGGTCCCCTTCTAAATTGTTTTTTTTTGGGGGGGGGGTCGTTTTTTTTTTTTTTTTTTTTTTTTTTTCTTTTTTTGCAGTACTGGGGTTTGAACATGCTAAACAAGTGCTCCATCACTGAGTACATCCCATGCTCTTTTAATTCTGAGACAAGGACTCATTAAAATTGCCCAGGCTAACCTCAAACTTGTGATCCTCCTGCCTCAGCCTCCCCAGTAGCTAGATTATAGGCATGCACCATCATACCCAGATAAAATGGTTTTAAAGTTTTTTATATATTCAGGGGTAAACTTTGAGCCGTGCAGAGTTTCATTGTGTTATTTATTTGCAAATGAAAGAGACTAAATTTGAATTTTTAAATGCAAAGGATGTTATCAGAATCCTAAAGTATGAAACCAAGCACAGGAATTATCACTGGGCTTTAGTACTAAATGAAGTCAGAAAAAGATTTTTTTTCTCTGCTACTCCACTTTTTCTTCCTCCTGTACTAGTCAGCTCTAGTTACTATAACAAAATACCACCACAGACTGAGTGGTTTAAACAACAGAAATTTGGTTTTTTGAGTTCAAAGGTTGGATATACAAGATTGAGGTGTCAACTGGGTTGGTTTCTCCCAAGGCTGGCCGCCTTAGCTTGCAGAGAGTGGTCTTCTCACTGTTCTGCTATAGCCTTTTCTTTCTGCACAGCATCTCTGGTAACTTTTATTTATTTATTTATTTTAAATTTATTTTTTGGTACCAGGGATTGAACTCAGGGGCACTTGACCACTGAGCCACATTCCCCAACCCTATTTTGTATTTTATTTACAGACAGGGTCTTATTGAGTTGCTTAGTGCTTTGCCATTGCTCAGGCTAGCTTTGAACTCGCGATCCTCCGGCCTCAGCCTCCCAAGCTGCTGAGATTATAGGCATATACCACCACACCCAGTTATTCCACTTCTTACAAGGACACCAATTTTCATCTGAGTTACTTGGTATTAGAACTTCAACATGAATGTAAGAGTCAGGGTGACAGGTGACACAATTTGCTCCATAACATACTATAAACTGGTCATCAACATCTCCTGGGATTTATATCAGGTGCAGAGACTGACTTGGGTTTTGCAACCAAGTCTAAATATCCAAGGATCTGCTAGCCCAGTTTGCCTCAGTGATCTGATGCCAGGAGTCATCCCAACTATTGAAAAGGAGGGATTTTCCTATAGTAGGTTATTTCAAAATTTTAGATGTGAAGTTTCCCATATAAAAGTTTAATTTCTAAAATCTGATTTTTAAAAAACTTGAAGTACTTTATATATACAACTTCTTAACATCCTTTTCCCTTGCATTTCTGGTCCCAGCATTTAGATGAATGCTCAGACCAGTGTTTAGGTTTAGTTTGAATAGAAGTAAAATAGATATGAAATCATTGTAAAAATAAAAATTTAAAAGCATGCTATATAGGAAATCAGTTATGGCATTCTTAATTTAAAACAAATTTTTTTAATCTTTGGAAGTTCAAAGAAATTCAGTTATTTGCTATCTCAGTAGACGTGCTTCTTTCTGGGAGGAGTAACTGAAAATTGTGTAATTATTCAAATGTTTGTTTCCTTGGAAGTTGTCCTAATATAGTTTCTGTGAAAAAGCATCAAATTCCGTTGCATGTATGCAAGTGCTTTTTTTTTTTTTTTTTTTTGGTACCAGAGTTTGAACTCGGTGCTCGACCACTGAGCCACATCCCCAGCCCTATTTTGTATTTATTCAGAGACAGGGTCTCACTGAGTGGCTTAGCACCTTGTCATTGCTGAGGCTGCATGCCTTGTGATCCTCCTTATGCAAGTACTTTTACTTTTTGGCTTCCTATATGATACTGAAAAACTTTTTTAGGTTGTTTAGTCAGTTTGATGTCATCTTAAACCTTCAGATGAATACTTGGAGAATGTGGGAAGACAAAGATTCATTGACCCTGTACTCTATACTAGGCACTATTGTAAGTATTGGGAATAGTGAAGTCACAAAAGTTTCTGCTCTCATGCAACTAACATTCTAGCTGGGAATCAAATCAGCGATTTTGTGAAATGAAGTAATATTATCTATAAAGTGCTCATTCCAATGGTTGGCGTGTAGAAAGGACTGTTTTAGTGGTCGATGCTGTTACTAGTATTCCTTTTTATGTGTGGTATTTCCTGGGAAAAATAACTATGCTTTGCTACCTTGGCTCATGCTACCTGCCTTTCAAGTTTTAGTTCAATCACCACCTCTTCTAAGAAAACTGGCCATCCTGCCCTCTTCCTGGTTTTATTGAAGGACCCTCTTGAGTTTCCTCAAAGGTGCCCCTCTGCCTACTGGCTCACCCTGGGGGTAGACATGAATTTAGCTGTTTTTCAGCTGTTGTTTTGCAAGAGATGAGCACAATCCACATATAGGTGTATAAGGTTAGGAATAGGGGCCTCCCTGTTCAGTGCTTAAGAAATGCTTTCCCTTCTGGACAAGAGATTTTTAAGGAATCTGCTATATCCCAAGGAGTGGGCTTGGCCACATTCTAAAGCACTTGCCCCTTCCTTTTTTGGAACAGAATTACTGCATTTGACCCAAAAGCTACCTGACTCAATTTGCTGACGAGTTCTCCCTTGTCTAGTCTGGCTTGCCTGTTGAGCTCAGGGATTTGGAAAGTAGAAGCAGATACATTGGTTTGTCTTCTCCAGTTCACATTGACTCTGGATGGCAGTATGGCAACTTAGAACCTGCTCTGGTCACTGCTATCAGTAAATCGCCTTGTCTGGACCTATGGACAGAGCAGCATTTTAATACTGTAAACTATTGGCTTTATAACCTATGAGATGAACAGGTGGCTCTTGTTGACCTTTGTCATTAGGGATCACTCAGGTCTGGAACATTGTTTACATACATAGAAGACCAGAGGCAAGAAATACATAAAATAACTTTTATATTTAGAGGAATGGTGGAGGGTCCAGGCTGGCCATAGGCCCACACCAGCTCCAGCACCTCCCATCTTCATGACCTTAAGTAGTTATGGACCACTCCTCAGTTTCCTCATCTGTAAAGTGGGGATAACTTAATAGGATTGAAGGAGGAATTAATGGGATAATGGACATGAGAATCTTAGCACAATGACTGTTATATAGTAAGTGCTCCAGAAAGGTTAACTGTGCACAGTATTACTACCTCCATGTCTATGTGCCTCATTAAGTGTTTTGTGCAAATGAGCCCAGAAAGCTGTGTCCTTGAAGGTCTCATAAACCTTTCAAGTGTGCAGAGTCAATATCAAGTTAAGATCTGGCAGCCAAAAATCACACACACAATTACAACAACTATATTACCCATAGAAAAATGCGTCTGAACAGCAGTGGGAATGCTACCCTTCAGGTGAAACTGCTGAGCCAAGTTCTGGTTTCTTGCCAAGTAGAAAAATAATGTCCTCATCTCCCTCAGAGATCCTTGCACACTTAAATTCAGGCATAAAACTTATTTTTAGTCATTAAATTTTCTTTTCCTGTGTGTCTCTTCTCTCCCAGTAACACAGGGCTGGTGGCTTATTTGAATACGAAGAAAAAAAAGTGGCATTCCCAGTTTTTTATCATGGTAGCTTCTGAATACTCCAGGCTACCCTGCCAAGAACAGGCTGTTGGGTCAAATCATCTCAGGGATTCTTCACACTACGAGTGGGGGTCAGGATCAATAAAAATCCAAGATGCCCTTTGGAAGAGATATGGGGGTCCTTGAAACCCCAGAGGCTAACAAATTTTTCTTTTAGCCTACAGAGTGGACCAGGAAAATACTTTAGAGTTATCTTGAGACTCAGTATTTTTGCCAAGCTTCCTTGAGAAGGAATTGGCAAAGAATGAGAAGAGAACAAAACAGGAAGCAGTTTTGAAATAAGCAGAATTGTTCCTTAATCAGTTTCGACCACCCACTTGTGCACCTAGCCTAAGGGTATGCAGAAATTCTTAATAACCCATGTTAACTCCAATTTCTATGTTACCAGGGCATGTGTATTAAAAATCAAGACCTAGAGGAATTGTGAAGAATGGTTCACATCCTTAGTAACTTGTAATCTGGTTCAAAGCCACTTCTGGAATGTACACATTCAACCTTCAACACAGGACCAACCACCTAACTACCCTCTTTCCCAGGGATGCTGGGTCTGAAGTTAGGTAAAGCTGCATTTAAATTTTGGTTCTACCACTTCCTGGGTAAGGTTTTTAACCTAAGACTTTTAACTTATTTGTACCATGAGAATAAATTCCTAATGTTACTGGAGTTTGTGAGAATTGGATACAAAGCATTCATTCCACCTGGGTGAGGTGCTGCATGCCTGCAATCCCAGCAGCTCTGGAGGCTGAGGCAGGAGGATCGCGAGTTCAAAGCCAGCCTCAGCAAAAAGCAGGGTGCGAAGCAACTCAGACCCTATCTCTAAATATTATACAAAATAGGGCTGGGGATGGGGATGTGACTCAGTGATCAAGTGCCCCTGAGTTCAATTTCCAGTACCAAAAAAAAAAAAAGCATTCACTCAATACTTAACTACACACTAAGCTAAAGTTACAGTGAGATGCAAGACAAAAAGACCAGCTTCTGTGAGTTTTATGTTCTAGAAGGAAGCAACATATGAGCAGTGAGGAAGAAGACTCTCAAGCAGAGGTAAGTGATGGTTGCTGGATCCTCTCCTGTACTGCCCAGCCCACTTTTGCTGAGGACTTGTTCCTGGAGCTGCTAGAAATGTGTTTGGCCTGTGGCCTTTGGCTGCCAGCCCCCGGGGGTGGTCTCAGCTGCCAACTCAGCCAGAGATTGCCTGGAAAGGTTTCATACAAACAGTGATCAATGCACACAAGTGACCTAGCTGTCCTTGGCCCAAGTCAGGGTGCTTCTGAAGGGCTATTTTAACCACGGAGCTCCTGGGTTCTGTCATTGGGCCTACAAAGACAGCTCAGTGATTGTCTAATTGGGTCTGTATAGGAGCCTCCACTTGAAGAGAGAGCAAAGCCCAGACCTGAACAGCAAGGAGTCAGCCCTTGGATGAGGATGCACACTCCAGGTAAAAAGATCAGATAGAAATGAACAAGCCATCTGAAAAGCCATGCAGAGGGGTGGAAGAGTGGGAGAAGAGGTCCGAGAGGCAAGGCCTATGTTGGATAGGGCTTTGTAAGCCAGAGAGAGAAATTTGGATTTTCTTTGAAAAATGGTGGGATTTATTTGACCTAATTTTTAAAAATTATTACATTATAGTTATACATAATATTGGAGTTCATACTGACAACATAGTCATACAAACATGGAGTAATATTTGTTCCAATTCAGTCTCCAGTACTTCCCCTTTCCCTCCCGCTATTCCCTTTCCTCTACTGGTCTTCCTTCTATTTATTTACATTTTTTTTTAAATTAGTCATGTCATTTATATATATATATATATATATATATATATATATATATATATATGACTAATTTATATAATTAGTCATATATATATAAAGGTGAAATTCACTGCAGTATTTTCATGTATGTACATAGGATAGTTTGGTCCACTTCCTTCCACCATTCTTCTCTTTTTGTATCCCTCCTCCCTCTGCTTCAATCACTATCTTCTACTCCACTCATGCCACCCCCTCCACCCACCCATCCCCTTTTTTTCCCCATATTTGCTCTAGCTTCTGGATATGAGAGAAAACATTCAACTCATGACTTTCTGAGTCTGGTTTGTTTCACTTAGCACGATGTTCTCCAGTTCCATCCATTTACCAGCAGATGCCATAATTTCATTTTTCATTATGGCTAAGTAAAACTCCGTTCTATTGTGTTTATATGCCACGTTTTCTTTATCCATTCATCTGTTGACATGCATCCGGGCTGTTCGGTAACTTGGCTGTTGTGAATTGCACTGCTATAAATACTGATGTGGCTGTATCATTATAGCATCTGATTTTAGATCTGACTTGATTATAAGGGATTTCTTTGGCTTGCCAGTGGAGAGGAGGCTGTAAAGTAAGAATGAAATTGGAGAGACCAGTGAAGAGCCTATAGTAAGATTTTGGACAAGGGACCATGGCAAATGACAGTGGACAGAAGACAAATTGAAGATATAATCTCCAAGTAGATGTAATAGACCTTGAAGATAGATGTAGGAAGATGAAGGGAAGGGTTTCTGGCATGTGATAGCATATATGGAAAGTTCCCAATGGTATCATTCATTGAGAAGAAGTGCTTGCTGAAGTGTCTCACTTCTATTCCTGTAGTTTGCATAACCTGGCATCATGCCTAATGTTTTTACAGGCTGCCAGTGAAAATGATCATTGCCAGATAGACCTGATTTCTAGAGACTTCTGAGTCTGCAGGTGGGCACACAAAGATCTTGCCAGGGAGTTAAAGAGATTACGTGCCCTGAGAAAGGAAAAGGAGGTGTGTGTTGCAGTTGGGGGGTTGAGAGAGACATGACAAATTACTATAAAACCATGCCACTTTAGTGGCCCAGGCCTTGCCCAACTTTTTGGGACTCTTGATCCTGGGGCTTGAGGAATGAAGAGAATGTCTCCTACAGGGACAGAAACTGCATGAGAAAGGGGTTGACTGTAAGCTGATACTTCTCTATTCTGGCTGACCTGGGTTTTCCTTTCCTTTCAATTTGACTTCTGTTTGTTTGCTGGTTGGTGCTTTGCATTGTTCCTGCAGGAGGCTTAGGAGACACAACCCAAGAGGCCCAGGCTGACTATGACTGTGCATGTTGCACACCTGGATCAGGCAGGACTCCAACCACAGCCCACTGCTGTCCCCCCAGACATCTGAACCTCACTCGCCAACTGTCTGGCTGCCTGAAGGCGCAGGGAAGCAAATTCTTTTTCATGAATTATGCTATTGGTATCATGTCTAAGAAACTCTTTGCCTAGCCCTAGGTCCCAAAGATTTTTTGCTATTTTCTCCTAAAATTTTATTGTTTGATATTCTATGTTAAAGTCCATGATCCATTTTAAGTTAATTTTCGTATCAGGTGTGTGGTTTAGATATAGGATTGTTTGGTGCCTGTGAATATCCAATTGTGCAGCCCATTTGTTGAGAGCTTGCCTTCCTCCCTTGAACTGCTTTCATACCTTTGTCAAAAGTCAGTTGAGGGGGCTGGGGTTGTGGCTCAGTGGTAGAACGCGTGCCTAGGATGTGTGAGGCATGGGTTCAATTCTCAGCACTACATGTAAATAAATGAATAAAATAAGGGTTAATCAATATCTAAAAATATTTTTTAAAAAATTTGTTGAACATACTTTTGTTGTATCCATGTCTCTTCCATTGATCTCTGTGTCAAGATTGTGTTAGCTAACCTCGTTCTTTTGGTTTTCCATGTAAATTTTAAGCTGTCCATGTCTGTAAGATATCTTGCTGGAATTGTAATAGGAATGGCATTATTATGATGATCATTATTATTATTTTGAGGTACTGGGGATCAGACCCAGGAACTTTCACATGCTAAGCAAGTGTTCTACTACCGACCCCCAGCCCTGTATTATTATTTTTGATGCTGTTATGAATGGAATTATTTTCTTTTCCCCCCTTTGAATTTTTTTTTGTTAAAATACATATTTTTAGTTTTTTCCCATTTTTTATTGGTATAATTATACATACTGGTGGAATTTGTTGTTACACATTTGTTCAAGCCACATGTAACAATATAATTTTGTCAATATCACTCCCCAGTATTTCTCCTTTCTCTCCCTTTCTCCCTCGCCCAATCCCTTTCCTCTATTCTACTAGTCTTTGATGTTCATGAGACTCCCCTCCACACACACACACACACACACACACTCACACTCACTCACTCTCTCTCTCTCTCCCTCTCCTTTCCTTTTTCCTCTCTAGCTTTCACATATAAAAGAAAACAGGACTCTTGACTTTCTGAGTTTGGCTTATTTTGCTTAACATAAGTTCTGAAGTTCCATCCATTTTCCTGAAAATGACATAGTTTCATTCTTTATGGCTGACTGAAACTCCATTGTATATATGTATGTATATCATTTACATATATCACACTTTTTTATTCATTCATCCATTGATGGACACCTAGGGCTGGTTCTAAAGTTTGGGATTGTGAATTGTGCTGCTATAAACATGGGTGTGTGTATTGCTATAGTATGATGACTTTAATTCTTTAGAATAAATGCAAAGGTGTGGTATAAATGAGTCATATAATAATTCCATTCCTAGTCTTTTGAGAAATTCTCATACTGATTTCTATAGTGGTGTACTAATTTACAATCCCATAAACAATGTAAAAGTATTCCTTTTTCTCCATATCCTCTCCAGCATTTAATATTATTTATATTTTTTATGGCTACCATGAATGGAATTACTTTCCTAATCTCATTTCCAGATTGTTCAGTGGTAATTTATAGAAGTACATTTTTACATTGATCTTGTATCTTGTCACATTGTTGGACTCTTTGATTATTTCTAGTAGTTTTTTATGAATTTCTTAGAATTTTCTTCATACAGGATTGAGTTGTCTACAAATACAGACAGATTTACTTCTTTCTAATCTGGTTGCCTTCTATTTCTTTTTCTTACTCAATTGCACTGGCTAGAATCTCTAGTACAATAATTAATAGAAGTGGTATGTGCAGCTATCTTTTCTTGTTCCTGGTCTTGGGAGAAAAGCATTCCATTTTTATCCTGCAATATAAACAAATTAAGGCTGGAAATGTGGCTCAGTGATAGAGTGCTTACCTAGCATGCATGAGGTCCTGGGTCCAATCCACAAGTCTCACAAAATTTAAAAATAAAAATATGCAAAACCATATGTCCACCAACGACTGGGATCCTGAGAAAGGGGAGGTTGCTGAAGGCAATTTAGGAAGTCTTCCTTAAGAAGAGGTGAGAGGAGGACAGGCCCAGCAAGGGTAGGAAGTTGACGAGTTTGTCCTTATAATACTGGAACTGACTGCCAAAGAGGATGGACTCAGGGATACTGATTCTAGTGCAGCTTTGTGCATCCTCTGATGGGATAGATCTACTCTCCTTCCCCACTGTAACTATAAGAAGGATGTCCATACAGGCTCCTGTGCCCATCACAGGTTGCATTTCATTCCCTATCACTCTGACTGGGGACAAGCAGGCAGGCAAACTGGGATGCTCTCCACCCCTCATAGGAAGAAAGCCAGGACCAAGTCAGTGAAACTCTTGCCCCAGGGTGCCTGATGCAGCTGCTACCAAAGGAGATCCTGAAAACCTTCTTCCTGTGTTAAAAATTAAGCCTTTGTTCTTTTGTCTATTAACCCATTTCTTTGATGAATGCATTTGGACAGCATGGGCATGTGTGAGGCATCTGGCAAGGTACAGCATAGCAAGAGATGAATTAACAGGGACTTTATTCACCAGGCGTTTGTCACTTATAGCAGAGGGATGACTCTCAAATACACTTCAGGGAACAACATGAGCTCTGGGACAAAAAAAGAGGCCGAGATAGGCTGGGGTAGGGTTTGAAATTCTGCGTTTCTGGCAAGCTCCCTAGTGAGGCTGGTACTGCAGGTCTGAGGGTCACACTATGTGTAGCCAGGCCACAGAACACATCTGATATGATTTGGCTGGAGAATAGTAGGAGAAAAGATCTGGAAAAGTAGGTAGAGGCCAGATTCCAGGCTGAGGAGTTTGAACTGTATTTGGCAGGCAACACACAACCTCTGAAGGTATTTGGGTCATGAAGTGATCCAAGCCTGACAAAGGAAGATTAGTCTGGAAATCATTCAAGAAGAGATTGGAGCAAGGTCAACCAGAAACACAGTGATTTGTCATCTACCCGCCCACCTTTTCCTCCACATTCCTATTCATCCATTTATCCACCCACCCCATCCATTCACCATCCACTAGTGTTTGTTAATGCATATTCCTGAAGAAGGATAACAGAACCTGGGGCTGGGGTTGTGGCTCAGTGGCAGAGCGCTTGTCTAGCATGTTCAAGGCCCTGGGTTTGATCCTTAGCACCACATAAAAATAAATAAAATAAAATAAAGGTATTGTGTCCAACTGCAACTAAAAAAAAAATGAATGTTTAAAAAAAGA